AGCCTGTCCTGCCACACTGCACCTGTATCTGCGCACCCTGCCTGCCACGTGTTGTGAAACTACCTTAGCATGCCACACTGGGCCGCACAGTTCCTCTGATCTTTACTAGTCCTGATCTTTCCATGACGTGGGTTCCGAGCATGGTTCTCTCCCCTGTTCTCTCTGTGGAGGCCATCCGTCCTGCAGGGGTCTGTGTGCTCTGTCCACGGCACAGAGCCCCTCTGAGCCTCTAGCCTGAGCGTGGGGTCGGCCTTTCCCCATGCCTTCCCTTTAGACGGCCCATACGGCGGCACTGCTGCTAACACTAGCGTTTGCGGTGCATATTGATCAGGGAGCTGGGAAGGGGGTCTGGCCTGAGTTTTCTCTGCTGGAGTTGGCTTCCTTCCACCCACAATGGCCCTGGCAGGATGTTGGCGTCACTGGGTTCTGTGGTCACTCCGCTCATCTTTCTCACCCTGTGTCTAGCCATCAAATGATCTTCCAGGTTCAGTTATGCTGAGCTCTGAGTGACGTGAAGGTAAGCGATTACTGCCAGCTCTGCCCTTAATTAATAGCTTATCAATTATTTGGGGGCTCTGGAGAGTACCACTGGAAAGCTCTGGGCTGGGTCTGGATAAGTTAATCTGGGCAAGGAGAGTGATGAAGTACACAGATTCCATAATACTTTAGGTGTTTTGGCTATGCCTGGTGGTACTGAGGAACCACTTCTGGTGTGGTGCACAGGGGACCATAGGGTGCCAGGGATTGAACCCCAGCCTCTGGCCCACAGGAAGCCTTGAATCTGCTTGGTGTTGATTCGTGTCAGACTAGCTGGAGTGAATAGTGTAGTTCATATATACACAGGGCTTAGAGATGAGGGTCCACAGTCTAAGGGTAGTCACTGACCTCGGAAGAGCAGATGGATCAGAGGGACCCAAGTCTTTGGGGTGGAGAGCACAGGACAGGGCTGGGCAGGAGCGCCCAGGCTGGTTAGGGGGAGGGCAGGCAAGTGTTGGTTCCAGGGCTGTACTGTGAAGTGCAGAGTTGGGTGTTGCTCTGGCTGATGCCATAGGCCAGTGTTGTCACTGGGGTTATATTTGGGTTCCTGGGACCACAGTTGGTCTGTGTCTGGGTATGAGCCAAGTGTCTGGATCTGCAATCTGTTGGGAGAAGTTCTGTTTCCCAGGTGCCACCCTTGGGAACTGGATGTTCTGTTGACAAACCAAAGGGAACAGGAATCTCCTTGCAGACAGACTCTGTTTACCTCAGGTCTTGGGAAAACACTGGAGGCAGCTGGGGCTGCAGTTGGTACAGAGCAACTATCTCTGTCTGGTGGAGGGGAGCCGGGCGCCCACATGCACACCACGCCTGCATGTGCTCCATCCACAGTGGCACCTGCTGCCCTGCAATGCCAGGCTCCCTCTGCACACAGATGTGGACCAGCACACCTTTGGCCTCACTGCAGTCTGCCTGGAGAGCCACCCTCAGACCTCTCCCCCAGGAGAGCTCTCTGGTCTCCCATTACTCTTGCTCACAAGTGGAATCAATCCTGTACGGCTGCCTGGGTCTCCATGCTCGTAACTGAGGAAGCCAGTTCCTGGGAATCACCTGCCCAGGGTCACCTGTGCGGGATGACCTGGACTGTAGGAGTCTCTGTGGGGATTAGATCTAGTTCTCAAGTCTGGCGGGTGAGTGAGTACTCACGGGCTGTCACAGCGTGTGTGTGTGTGTGTGTGTGTGTGCGTGTGCGTACACACACACACACACACATACACACACGCGCGCGCGCACACTCACAGTGGAGAGGTGGAGATGCTCACAGCAGAGAGACCCCTTCCCACACTCTTGCCCCTTCTGCCCTTTGCTTGGCCCCTCATATCGCCCCATCCAGAGCCCAAGGGAGGTGGATAAACCATCCTCCTGCCTTCCCAAATTGTGGCTGACGGTTGCCTGAGCAACCGCCTTGCAGATTGGGGAGATTAGCTGAGGAATGTAGCTGGGCTGGTTTGTTCTGAGACTGGGGGAGCTTGTGGGGGTCCTGGGCTGTTTTAGGGTTGTTTTAGCTCATCCACTCAGGAGGAGAAGTGCCCAGAGGAAGGGCCTGCTCTTCTCCCTGTCTCTGGCCCCCACTGAGACTATTTCCCCAGAACTTTAGAGTGTGTGTGTGTGGGGGGGGGGGGGCGGAAGGTGGGGAAGGTGTGTGTTTGAACATTGTCATGTAGGGCATTTTGTGTGTGTGTGTGTGTGTGTGTGTGTTGTGTTGCGAATCTCTCTGGGTACAATTGGAGTGTGGGCTTGGAGCGGTCCCTCTGACTCGGCCCCTGGCTGATTGCTGCCCGCAGGACCCAGATGCTCCAACAAACCTTCTGGGGCCCCAGTTCAGCAAGGCCCAATTCTCATCTTGGCACTGGAGGCCTCGGAACCTGCCTCCCTCTTTGCAGCTTCTGCGCACTCCCCACCCCCACCGCCCGCCCCGGCCCAATCTGCACCCCAGATTGTCTTTGTCACAGCTTTCCCTCCTGGGCTGCAGGAGAGGCTGGCCCCATCTCTGCTGGCCTCAGCCATGTCCATTCTTGCAGTGTCTGCTCAGAGGCACCCCTTTCCTCTGCAGTGCCCCTACCCTGCTAGGCCCCCTTTATGGCCTGTCACCTGTCTGTCATTCACTCACTGTCCTCAGGCTGGGACTCCCAGAAGTGGGAACTTCAAGCATCCCCATCCCTCGAAGAGTCCCTCTAAGATTGCCTCAGCCTCAGTGCACACGGAGCAGGTGTGGCCAGATGAGCACCCAGTCTCACTCTGTGTCTGCTCTCCTGACACAGGCAGCTTCTGTCCCCACATCTGGGGCTGCACAGATGGCCTGGGAAAGCCACCTAATCTCTCCGAGGAATAGGAGTCATGATCCTAGGACCTACCTGCTGTCACCACTGAGGTTCCCGGGTTCAGGACACCCGGGATGTATGTGTGTGGCTGTGTCCACGCTCAGGCCTGTGTTAATGGACTCAGAAGCATTTCCTGGTGACTGTGTTCACATGGAGCTCAGTCTAATTTGCTTTTCTCCCAACTGGCAGTCTGTGTCAGGAAGTGATTTTCCAGGGGAATGGGGCCTTGGTTTTGGGGCTCTGGCTTCTGAGCCTAGAGAGGGTTGGAGTTTTCTCAGAGCCCAGGAGAGCTGGGGAGTGGGGAGCAGTAAGGGTGGGATGGGGAACCTGACCCTTTCATTGTTCTATCCTCTTTGGTTGGAGTGGAGCCTGGCCCAGAGACACAGGACTGGGGAGGGCCAAGGGCCAGGGAGAATGAGTCGGTGTGCCCAGAGGTCCTTCTAGAGGTGGGCAGGGGGCTTGCTCTGGCTGGCCTGAGTTTACTTACTCCGATGGTCATTCTAGTTGAAGTTGAATGCTCTGGTATCTTCTGGCTGTTTGGAGGGGCCACTCTGGCCAGGGGACAGTCAGCGGAGACACTGACTAAGGTTTATCTCTCTGGAGGGCCACTAACCCTGGTCAGTCATTTGGGACCGGTCAAAATAGAAGTTGTTTGGGCTCAGGTCCACAGGTCTGGCGGGGGGTCTCAGAGTATTTCTATGTCAGTGTGTGGAATTCTGGAGAGTATGAGCCTGGCTCAGGATGGCCAACCTCTTTTCAGGGCCAGAAACCTGGGGCAGTGGTCCTGTTAGTTGCTAAGGACGAGAGGACCTGAGACTTGGCCAGTGATTCAGATCCTGGGCTTCCCTTTCTGGACAGGGAGGCGTGGACTAAGAACCTTGCAAATAGACTCAATCCAGGCTGAGTGAAGCTCACCGTCTCCTTCTCCAGGAAGCCCTCCCTGACTGTAGCCTACTGGCCTTGTCCTCTGTGTTGTGGATGATTTTCCAGAGGAGACCCAGCTTTTCCTGGGAAGAAGAAGAATCCCTCTCCCAGAGGCCACACAGCCTGCCCATCTGGTGCAACTGCAGACCCCATCTCAACTCTTGTCACACTGATGGGGTCCAAGCAGAGGAATGGGACAAGCTCCTTAGTGCCTGGTGGCACTGGGTGTGTTTCCTTATTATACTTCATATGACCCTACAACGATTCAGTCTTCACATCTGCACTGAACCTTCTAGGAATGCTCCGTGGCTGTGCACGCACATGCCCTCTCCTGGGCGCGGCCCCTGCTCTTCTCCCCAGAGCCCCCCATTTTTCTTCCTTCCTCTTTTTGAGACTGGGGAGTCGCAGAGGCTTGCAGTGGTCTTCGCTGGGGAGAGATGTGGGCTGTGCATGTGCCGTGGGCTCACTTAGGTGCCCACTTAGGTCATGAGCTGGTGTTTCCTGAGGCTGCTCCTGGGCTGGGCATTGTGCTAGCTGGACTCCCACACTGGGCCCTCCATGACAATGGGGAAGGTGAGGTAAGAGAGGAGAAGCAACTTGCTCAGAAAAGGGAAAGGTCACAAGGCTGCAAATTGCAGAGTCAAGGTTCAACCCCAAGTCTGTCTCCTGTTGATCCCCATTCATTTATCTATCCTCGTATTCCGTAGACAAGTCCCGTCACCCCTCAGCCAGTCATCTCATCTGTGCAGTGGGGAGGAGGGCCAGTGGTTGGCCGTGCCCAGGACCCATGCCTGCTTCCTTGCTGTGTGCTCAGGTGTTTCCCTGGTCTCAGGTGCTTGGGACCAGTGCACTCTACAGTTGTGAAAGGATCAAAAATCACTGTTCTGTCATAGATAGCGAGCAGGTGGCCGAATACTCCCCAGCTCAGCAAGCTGAAGGAAGACACCCAGCTCCCTGGACCTTAGTTTCCTCATCTGTCAAAGGGGGCATTTCTAGCCCTAATCTTGATCTCATGATGTTGTTGTAATGCTTCAAAGGAGTAATGATAACTAGTTTGTGTTGAGGGTCTGTGCTGGGCAGTGGGGGCCTCGGGGAGCAGGAGTGTGGGGATGTCTGAGATTGGGAGGGGGACACTCTCTGGGGTGGGGGAGGGTCACTGGGGTCAGAGTGGTCAGCAGCCTGATGTTGGCCAGGACTAACCGGATCTTGCCCTCACAGCTGGCTGCACCTTTGAGGAGGCGAGTGACCCAGCAGTGCCCTGCGAGTACAGCCAGGCCCAGTACGACGACTTCCAGTGGGAGCAAGTGCGGATCCAGCCTGGGAGCCGCGCTCCTGCCGACCTGCCCCATGGTGAGCCGATTGCAATCCCTGCAACCCGATTGCAGGCATTCTGGGGAAGTCCCGCCCACACCTGTGTGACCTGGGCATTCTCCTTAACCTTTCTGGGTCTCCTCTGCTCTGGCCCGGGTCACACCGAGGAGGTGGACACGGCCCAGCTGGAGGCTCAGGCAGTTTTTTTTTCTTTTTGGGTCACACCCGGTGATACACAGGGGTTACTCCTGGCTCTGCACTCAGGAATTACTCCTGGTAGTGCTCGGGGACCATCTGGGATGCTGGGAATTGAACCCAGGTTGGCCGCATGCAAGGCAAATGTCCAACCCTCTGTTATCGCTACAGCCCTGGCTCAGGCAATTTTACCTGCATCTCCAAGTCATCGAAGGCCCTTTGAGGTGTTAGTCAGACTCCTTGTCATGGACTGTCATGACTCCTCCTCTTGTGGCTTAGCTCAGATCCACCCAGTCCATCCCCTTCCTGGTTGCTCCACAGGTCAGGGTGCTCTCTTTTCTCTGAATTCCATTGAGTCTGGGTCTCCAGAGGGCTTGAAGAGGCTGAGGAAGCAGTAAAGGTGGGGGCTTGAAGTGGGTGAAACCTTCTTCCTCCATGACCCTTCCCCCTCCCCCCCCCCACGTGCCTAGAAGTTCAGACACTTCTCAACATCTGACTTGCTTGGTCCCTATTTCAGGATGTGGCTCTTCTGGTATTAGGAGCACTGGACTGAGAGTCAGGAGACTATGTGAGTTCTAGTAGTGGTTTTCCATTCTGTCTAGGGCCTGTTAGCACTAGTTTCAGAATTATAAAAAATGGTTCAGGAAACGTTGACTTCCTCCTTTACAGCTGCGTGACTTTGGTCAAATCACTTAATTTTCTCTGAACTCCATTCCCTCCTCCCCTGCCCTTTTGGGGTGGGGAAGCACTTCACAGTGCTCAGGCTTTTCTCCTGGCTCTGCATTCAGGGGGTCATTCATGGCACTGCTCAGGGGACCATAACTGGCGCTGAGTATGGAATCTGAGTTGGCTGCGTGCAAGACAAGTGTCTTAAACAGACGCTGTACTCTCTCTCTGGCCCTGAGCTCCCATTTGTTTTAATGCAGTAAAATGGGGAGAACAATAATCTATGTCCTGCTCATAAAGTCCCAGGACAAGGATGGCATGTTTTGTTGCTCTTGCAAGAATATTGAGAGGACCCCATCACTACCCCTCCCCCTCTTCTCAGGGCATAGAATCAACTGGGAGTTATAAAAGGGATCAGGGACACGGAGCCCCTGCATCACTCTGATTCCAGACCCCCAGGCCCAGCCTCAGCCTTGTACATGGCTGCTGCGCATTTGTGAAGTAGCTGATTGAATTCACCTCTTTAAATGACGTTTTCCCCCCTTTTTTTCTAGGGGTGCTGGATTTGGGCTTGGGGCTTCACACATGCATAGCATGGATTTTGCTTCCGAGTTGGCCCCGATGCACCTCTTACCGGCTGACTGCCCTGTGTGTGCCTGCTTCTCTCTCTCACATACCAGAGACAAACCCAGGGAGAGGGGAGAGAAATTTTGCATTGAGGGGCTCTTATGCTGGGTCCGCACTACAGTGGGGAGTGCGTCTGGACGGACTCCCACTCCAGGTGCTGGGAGGAGTGGAGGAAGACTCAGTCAGAGATGAACATCAGAGACGCGAAAGAGCCATAGGGATGAGGGGTACAAGGGAGAGAGCAGGGAGGCAGGCAGAGGGAGAAGCCAGACAGGCAGAGGGAACAGAAGGAAGAAGCAAGAACAAAGTATCAGATTGAAAGGGGGAGAAAGACCAGCACAGCTGCTCACAGCAGAGGAGAGGAGGTTAAAGGAGGGGCCAAAGCGACTATGGGGGCAGAGATGCGCCCTTTCGGGTTGGAGACGGGGACTTGGAGGTGTCCTTCCCAGCATGCTCCGGGCCGGTCCAGGACCTGCTTCCTCGGGCTTCTGGCACACAGCGCAGAATGAGCTCCTTCAGCGGCACCCTCAGCTTTCCCAGAGCAGGGAACCTCAGCCTGGCGTTTTGGAAGCTGAATGAGCTTGTGTTGGCTGGCAGCCAAGCCCAGGAGGCGAGGATGCTGCTGGGGCATAATTCCCCAGTCAGGTCCTAGGTGCCCAGAGCCTCCTTCCCTCCTTCCTTCCCTGCCTCCCTCCCTCCTTCCTACACACACACACACACACACACACACACACACACACACACGTCCAGCAGCTCCCTCCCTACCCCACTTCTCTCTCTCTCTCTCTCTCTCTCTCTCTCTCTCTCTCTGAGGGAGGACTGTCTTTCTCTGTTTCTCCAGGTTGGAAATCAAGACAATTATATCCTGGAAATTTAGACTGGGGAATGGGGTTGGGGGTAGTATAAGCTCCCCTGCCCCTATTTTTTTTTTTTTTTTTGTATTTTGAGTCGTAGCCTGGTTACTCCTGGCTCTACACTCAGGAATCAGTCCTGGTGAGCTCAGGGGCCCTTATGGGAACCCAGGTCAGCCGCATGCAAGGCAAATGCCCTTCCCACTGTACTACAGCTCTGGCGCTTGAACCCATTCTTCAGTGTCTGTTCTACCCATCCAGGTAACTTGGTTCAGAGCCCATGGCCGGGGCACTGGAGGGTGGGTTTCAGGAGGAAGTCCTCTGGGGGCTTGTCCTGTGCTGACTCTTGAGTCCTCCCAGGACTGACTGGTCCCTGGCCTGAGGGCACCCAGCACCCAGGAAAGCTATAATCAGTAGGAGTGTGACCTGGATGCAGGTGGTGAAGACTCATAAAGATTTTGGATGCAGCCAGATCCTTGTGACTTTGCTGCTCCTTCTCTGGGGAGTGGGGTGGGGTGGGGGAAGAGACTTGCTCAAACTGGGGGCTTGAGTTCATAACCCCTGGCTCCCGGGGGCTCCAAGTGACTGGGAACCTTAGTTTTTTCTTTTCTTTTCTTTTCTTTTCTTTTCTTTTCTTTTTTTTTTTAATTAAAGGGGCTGGAGTGATAGCACAGTGGCTAGGGTGTTTGCCTTGCATGCGGCCGACTCGGGTTCGATTCCCAGCATCCCATATGGTCCCCTGAGCACCACCAGGAGTAATTCCTGAGTGCAGAGCCAGGAGTAACCCCTGTGCATTGCCAGGTGTGGCCCAAGGGGAAAAAAATTAAAAAGTTTTTATTGAATCACTGTGAGATACACAGTTGTTCATGATTGGGTTTCAGTCACATAGTGTTCCAACTCCTGACCCTTCACCAGTGCACATTTCCCACCACCAATGTCCCCAGTTTCTGCTCCCCCCTCCAAACAGCTGACCTCTATGGCAGGCTCTCTCTCTTTCTCTCCTTTTGGGCACTATAATTTGCAATCAGGCACTGAAAGATTACCATTCGTGTCTCTTTACCTCTGTTCAGCACTCAATTCTGTCCAGAGCGATCATTTTCAGCTGTCACTGGGGACCTTAGTTTTTGCTCCTGCTCCTTGTGTCCGCCTGACCCTGAAGCTCCCCACAGACCTCCCCAGAGTACCAACTTCTTCCTCCCATCTTTCCAGGCTCCTACTTGATGGTCAACGCTTCCCAGCATGCCGCAGGCCAGCGGGCCCATGTCATCTTCCAGAGCCTGAGTGAGAACGACACCCACTGTGTGCAGTTCAGCTACTTCCTGTACAGCCGGGATGGGCACAGCCCAGGCACTCTGGGCATCTACGTGCGTGTGAATGGGGGCCCTCTGGGCAGTGCCGTCTGGAATATGACTGGATCCCACGGTCGCCAGTGGCACCAGGCTGAGCTGGCTGTCAGCACCTTCTGGCCTAACGAGTATCAGGTGGGTCAGGTTTGCGTGTGGTCAGCCCGTGTGTTGGGGTAGATGCAGAAGGTCTGGGGCTGAGGTCAGAGTAAGCGAGGGGCTAAGGTTGGAATCAGTGTTCGGCAGCACGACTCCATCTGTCCTCATGGAGAGGGGTCAGTAATTGGGCGGTTTGGGGATATTCAGTGATGGTCAGTGTGGGTTCTGTCTCAGCGATCACTGTAAGAAGAGGCTCTGGGGAATTGGGACAGTGCTGACCTAGACACTTTGTCTGGAAAAGGAATCTTTGTTTTGGAGGGGGGTTGCTAACTGTCCAGGACTTGGATGAACCCTCTGTCCTGAAGGATGTTGCCTCTGGGTGCTGATACCCTGCCTCCTGGCAGTTACCCGTATTGGTGGGGGATGGGGGATCACACACTGGGCCCAGGCTGACCTCTGCTGGTTGGAGAAGGCTGAAAAGGGGCTCCTGTGGGGACCTCACCTGGCAGGGTTCCATGGGCTCCCACTGCTTCCCTAGGTGCTGTTTGAGGCCCTCATCTCCCCAGACCGCAGGGGCTACATGGGCCTCGATGACATCCTCCTCCTCAGCTACCCCTGCGGTGAGTCACAGCCACTGCGGCTCGGGGAGAGGGGTGCGGTGTCCCGGCAGGCATCCAGGGCTCACACGGGTGCTCCCTTCCGCAGCCAAAGCCCCCCATTTCTCTCGCCTGGGCGACGTGGAGGTGAACGCGGGCCAGAACGCCTCGTTTCAGTGCATGGCGGCGGGCAGGGCAGCAGAGGCAGAGCACTTTCTCCTGCAGGTGAGGGGCAGGCGGGCAACGATCGGGTAAGGGGGACAGATGTCGGGGGCACTGGGGTTGACCCTAGGGGGATTCTGTGTCCTTTTATCATCCTCCCACACTCGTGAACCCCAGCTCTCTCTAACAGAGCTTCCATCCGACCCAGGTCAGGGTGTGGCTTCATCCCATGCCCTCCATCAAAAGCAGAGCTTCCCAGGATATCTGTCACTCCCTTCCCCATCAACCCCAGCACTGCATATGGTCCGGCCAGAGACATCCTTGAACACACACCCGGGGCTAAGCTCTGAGCACCTCTGGGTGGGGTCTCAGAAACAAAAACCAAACCCAGAGCAGATTGGAACCCTCCCTCCCCGAATCCTGCCATCCCTCTCTCCGTGCAGCGGCAGAGTGGGGCACTGGTGCCTGCCGCCAGTGTGCGGCACATCAGCCACCGGCGTTTCCTGGCCACCTTTCCACTGGCTGCTGTGGATCGCACGGAGCAGGATCTGTATCGCTGCGTGTCCCAGGCCCCACGTGGCGCTGGTGTCTCCAACTTCGCTGAGCTCATCGTTAAGGGTCAGCAGGGAGAGGTTCAAAGGGGGCGGGGCCTGCACTGGAGGGGCGGGGCCAGGGAGGCCTGGTAAGGGGCGGAGTCTGATGGGGGCAGAGTGGGGGTAGGACCAATTGCATCTAATTGGTGGGTGTGTCTTTTAGGGGGCGGTGCCAGAATTTCATGGGCGGGAACTGATGGAGAGGGCGGGGTTTACAGTGGATCTTGGTGACCAGATTCTGGTGTGACCCAGAGGAAGTGGGGTGCAGTTGACTTGAGCAGGATAACTAGCAGGATACAGTCACTCACAGGAGGCCAGAGTTAGCGATTTAGAGAGTAATGAGAGGATCTAGGCTGAGGAGTGAAGTGGGCTGAATCAGCATCCCGCTGAGCCTGGGGATTTTGCTGGTGTGAAAAGTGGTCGTCGGGTTGAGTACTGGCTGGCTGCAAGAAGGGCCTCGAAGGGCAGTGGACTCTTGGGGATTTGGGTCTGGTGAGATGTGGAGTGAGGCCATTATCCCAAGGGCACATGGCAGTTCCACCTTCTCTTCACAGAGCCCCCCACCCCCATCGCGCCCCCACAGCTGCTGCGCGCTGGTCCCACCTACCTCATCATCCAGCTCAACACTAACTCCATCATTGGCGACGGGCCCATAGTGCGAAAGGAGATTGAGTACCGAATGTCCCGCGGCCCGTGGGCGGAGGTGCATGCGGTCAACCTGCAGACCTACAAACTGTGGCACCTTGACCCCGACACCGAGTATGAAATCAGTGTGCTGCTCACACGTCCTGGTGATGGAGGCACAGGTCGCCCCGGGCCACCCCTCATCAGCCGCACCAAGTGTGCAGGTGGGTGCCCTCTGGCCCTACTCCCTACTCTGGAGTCCTGGGTATGCGTTCAGGGCAGCCGAGGAGGAAAGGGGCACATTCCAAGGTAATGTATGACCTAGATTTGTGCTTCTAAGACTTAAAAAACGCAACTTTTCCTCAGCGTCTGTTATGGGAAAGAGGTAATCGTGGTAGCTAGTACTTTCTGCCTTACACTTAGGCATATGTTTGTATATAGGCACACTTACTGATTTAAAACTCACTTTGGGCTGGAGCAATAGTACAGCCTGTAGGGGATTTTCCTTGCACACAGCTGACCCAAGCTTGATCACTGGTATCCCATATGGTCCCTTGAGGTGGTCCGAAGGGGTGATCCCTGAGCATAGAGCCAGGAGCAAACCCTGGCAAGTCCATGTGACCCCAAAACCACACCAAAACAAAAACTTCACAATAATCTAGGTACTTGTCCTACCTACTTTACACATGAGATCATAGCTGTGGAGTGATTGGCTCAAGGTCACACTGCTAGGAAGCAGCAGAGCCCTTGACTCCCTGGCTCTAGGATCTGAGTTCTGGAGAACTATTTTATTGAGATAAAATAAGCAACTAAGTAAGCACCATAAAATAAGTGTTATTAAATATAGCTGGATTATTTTGTCTGGGCATTTCAGTCTGAGGTATCTGTATCAGAAGTGATGGTGAAGAAAACAATTTGGACTACTCAAAGGACTACTATCAGGTTGGCAGGTGGGGGTGACTATGCAGTGCCAGGGATTGAACCTGGAACTCCACCTGAAAAACATGTGCTCGATCTTTTCAAACTATTTCCCCGCTCTCAGTTTTAATTCTATGACTTCAGGGTGTTGTTAACATTTTGTTGTTGTTGTCTATTTTCTTTTTCAATGATAGGAATAGAATCCAGAGCTTGTTCATTTAATTTTGGTGAAGTCTAATTTTATTGATTTTTTTCTTTAATTATTTATACTTTTTGGGTCTTGTTTTGGTACCCCAGCTCTGCTCCCAGAAATCACTCCTGGTGGAAATCAGGGGACCAAAATGGGGTGCTGGGAATTGAACCCAAGTTGGCTGTGTGTAAGGCAAATGCTCTACCTTCTGTACTATTGTTTCTGTCCCAGTTATTTTTACTTTTTGATATCATATCTGAGAAATCATTACTTAACCCAGTAATGAAGACAAACATTTAAAAACATCTTTTTGTTTGATTTTTGGTCACCTATGGCTATGCTCAGGGGTTATTCCTGGCTCTGCACTCAGGAATCACTCCTGTTGGGTTCAGGGAACCATATGGGGTGCCAGGGATCAAACCTAGGTTGGCTGTGTGCAAGGCAAGTGCTTTACCCACTGTACTGTCATTCTGAACCCCAACTTCTATTTTTCTGGATTTTTATAGTATTAACTCTTAATATAAGGTCCTTGATCTCTTTGGAATTAATTTTGTGTATGAAGTGAAGTAGGGGTCCAATTTCGCTCTTTTGCCCATGGGTATCTAATTTTCCAGCAACGGTTTTTGAAATGACTGTTATTTTCCTATTGAATCTTGTTGTTGTTGTTCAGCATATCTGTGGAGATTCATTTAATCCAAGTTATTATATATAATGAATAGTTCATTCCTTTTTACTGGTGAGTAATATATATTACTTGCCGTGACTCTACCATAGTTAACCATCACCTGTGGAAGAACATTTGGACAGGGTCCAGTTATTGACTCTTAAAATTAAAGCATCTATGAACATTTGTGTACAGGTTTTTGCAGAAGTGCAAATTTAAATTTTTTTCTGGGATAAATCGCAAGGGTACAGTTGGTGGGTTGTGGATGGTAATTGCATACTTAGTTTTATCAGAGCTGCCAGAGTGCCTGTTTTATGTTCTCTCCAGTAATATGTGAGTGGTACAATTTTCTGCATCCTTGCCAGCATTTGGTGCTGGGCTCCCCCCATTCCCCCCTTTATCATCTTTGTCATTCTGAGAGGTATCATAGTCCATCCTGGTCTTAATGATTTTAGGTTTTGGGCCACACTGTCAGTTCCCAGGGCTATTTCTAACTTGATAATTGGGGGGGGGGTCACTCCTGATGGTACTCAGGGGAACCATGTACTACTAGGGATTGAACCCAGAGCTCCTTCATGCATTGCAGTCCCTAGAGCTATCTCCAGCCTAATTCGCATTTTCTTGCACTTCGTGGTGTTCAACATTTTTTTTTGTGCTATTTGTCATTTGGATAGCCTCTTTGGTGAATTTATTTGCCTATTTTCTAATGGGATTCATCACATTTATTTGCCTACTTTCTAATGGGATTATTCATTTTTTGCTGTTGAATTTGGAGAGTTCTTTGTGCTTAATGTGGGACTACTCATACATATCCAACAGGATAGTTTTAAATATTTTTCCCCTAGCCTTCCTTCCTTCCTTCTTCTTTCCTGAAATTTTGAGGGCAATTGCTTTTAATTTTGATGTGGGATAATTTATTAAAAATTTCTTGTTATGCTGTTTTTGGGGGTTTCAAGTTTAAGAATTTCTTGCCTGGCCCTAGATCCCAAAAGTTTTATCTTTTTTTCTTTTTTAGAAGTATTATAGCTTTATATTTTATATTTAAGTTCATGATGAATTTGAGTTATTATTTTTGGATAAGGTATGAATAAAGTATGATTAACTTTTCTGTTGCATTTTCTTTCTTATTTGCTAGTGTTTTTAAAAACCGACCCAGGGATCATCAAAAATACAGTTTAGTGCCAGACTTGAGACGGCCTTGCATGGTGGGGCAGAGTACTCCAGTGGGAATTCCCTTCTAACTAAGGCATCTCCCCCATCCCAGCAGGGTGCTTGACCTCTCTGAGCTTTAATTGCCTTGATTTGTGAAAAGGGAAGATAATCTTGGCCATAGAGGGGAAGTATGAAGCCTCAACAAATCTTTATGGAGTGAGTGCTTGTTATGTCTGAGGTTCTGTTGTAGCTGTAACAGACACAGGTGAGCAAGATGGGGGCCAAGGCCACTGGTGACTTCCTCATAACACACATTCTGGCGGAGCAGACAGTGAACCTAGTGAAGCAGGTAGCCGGTCACTGGATGATAAATGCAGTGACGAGTAAAGCAGGGAGGGAGATGGTGTGTGGAGGGCAGGAGGATTGTTATTTTAAAAAGGCTCCAGGGTCCTGTCATTGAGAAGGTGTCATTTGAGCAGAGAGCTGACAGAAGTGAGGGCTGTGTGGAACAGGAAGCTGGAGGAATTGCTGGGGGGAGGAACATTCCTGGCAGACCACACAGCAGGTCCAAAGGCCTGGAGGCTGAGGAGCTGCAGGGAGACCATGTGGCTGAGGTGGGTGGCAGGAGAGGAAGTGTCGGTCACTGGGGATGGGAGACAGAGTTGTTTTCTGGGGGTCATTGCTGATTTTGGAGAGCAAGAGGGACAGGACCTCCTTTGTTCAAAAAGATCTCCCTAACACTTCTGAGGAGACTCGACTTGGGGAGTAGGATAGCAAGGGGACAAGGGGGGAGCTATGTGAGGAGGCCTCTGCCATCTGGCTGAGAGAGGCTGGGGGCTTGGGGAGTGTTGGGAGCTGGGAGGGGGTGATGGAGGTGGGGAAAAGTGGCTAGATGCTGGGCTTATTGTCAAGGTAGACCTAACTGCATATGCTGATGGATTGATTCTGCGGTGAGAGAGGGAAATAGAAGTCAAGGATGGCTCCAAGGTGTTTCGCTTGAGCAGTTGGAAGGATGGAGTTGTCATTTACTGCGAAGGAACTGATTGCGGGAGGAGCGGCCGTGATGGGTGTCGTAGATCAGGAGTTGTGTGTTGGAAATGTTGACTTTGAGATGCCCATTAGGCGTTCAGGTGGAGATATCCATCAGGACGATGGATTTATGAGTGTGGAGTTCAGGGAAGAGGTTCATGCTGCGGATATAAATTTGAAAGTGTCAGCACAGACATGGTGTAGATGGTATTTAAAGCTACGAGACTGAATGAGATCTTTTATGCTGATGGTTCCCAGCTGGGGGTGTTTTCATCCCCCAGAAGACATTTGCCAGGCCTGGAGACATATTGTTTGTCACAAGTGAGGGTGGGGTGCTAATGGCATCTAAGGCCTGGAGGAAGCCAGGGGAGCTGTTAAAGATCCTGCAGTGCACAGGTAGCCCTCACAATGAAGGGTAAATATTAGGAGTGCCCTCTGATTTAGTTCTTATGTTTTACGGAATTAGTGGAGATTAAAAAAGAGAGGAATTGTGAGAGTTGAACGTGGGGTCCTCCAGCATTTGGGGTGAGCCACAAGCAATTGCTTGTAACTACGTTAATATGCAGGTGCTGTGATTTGTGTAAATTAAACCACATTCTAGTGTTGGTCACTGCTGGAATGCACCAGCACTAACGGGTTAAATGCATGATTAGATAATGTACCCATCACATGGCAAGCACTTTGTAATTATGATGTAATGGACTTTTCAGAACTGGTTTTGGTTGGGCATTTAAAAAAATATCAGAGTTAAAGGGTCCATAGGGAATCTCTATTCCATTCACTTTAGTATCCAGAGAAGGGAACTGATACCCAGAAAAGTTCACGAGGCGAGGCGAGAACACAGGGGTCATAGGGACAGGAGGTTATTGTTCCTGTAGCACAGATGAGTAAACTGAGATTTTGAGGTGTTTTTTGTATTGTCCACCATGTCCATGCAGAGTCAGAACCTATATTTGAGTGTCCTGATGTCCTGCTATCTAGCATTGGGTACAGCACTGATGACAATAACAATAATGGCAGTAGCAGCTGCCATCAGAGGCTGAGTGCCCACTCTGTGCCAGGCTCTGCTAAGCACTCTACATAGGCTCAGGCAGGATGGAAGCTTGGGCAGGAACCAGACAGACGGGACCCAAACAACTCATCCTGCCTCTCTTAATTACATGCTTCTCTTCTTTGGCATCACCACCCCCCTCCTTGATTAGCGCCTTGGCCAGTAGTTGTTTTGCTGGTGGCCAGCTGTGTTGTCATCTCTTCTATACCCATGGCACTCCCCTTCCACAATATTATTTACTGTAAAAACAATAATATCATGTCAGTAAAAGGCATTAAAAAAGTCATTCTAAATCTCACCATCCTAGTTCAACAGCTGTTTTGGTTTTTCTGTCTTCTTCAAATCTCTGCCCATATGCCTTCAGTACACATTTTCACTCTTGTCATTGGGTTGTAGAAAGCGTTCTGTATTCTGCTTCCTTTGCTGGGTGCAGTTCCATTTGTTATGCTGCTTATAATTATGTTTATTGGCTTTAGAAGTCCGCTGAGTATCTCCATATTGCTGGGCTGTTTATTTCCAGATCCCTATTATTATAAATTATATACATGGAGAAATTTAGAGCTAATCGTGTTTTTCCCTGAGATATTTCTTAGGATAGTTAGGAATTATATATATATAGTTCATATCATATATATTGCTTTTAAAAATGGTACTGAATTTCTGGGACTGGAGAGATAGTACAACTGCTAAAGCATTTACTTTGCATATGGCCTATGTGAGTTTGATCTCTGGTGCCCCATATGGTCGCCTGAGCACCACTAGGTAAGATCCCCAAGCACTGAAACAGGGATAAGCCCTGAGCCCCCATTTTTTTTTCTTTTTTGGGTCACATCCGGTGATACACGGGTTGCTTCTGGCTCATGCGCTCAGGAATTACTCCTGGCGGTGCTCAGGGGATCATATGGGATGCTGAGAATCGAACCTGTGTTGGCTGCATGCAAGGCAAACGCCCTACCCGCTCCAGCCCCTGAGCCCCCATTAAAAAAAAAATGGAACTGATTTCCTATCCTTCCTTCCTTCCTTCCTTCCTTCCTTCCTTCCTTCCTTCCTTCTTTCCTTCTCTCTTTCTCTTTCTTTGTAGTGTTCAGGGTCTATTTCTGCTTCTTTGTGTAGGAGTGATCCACGGTGGTATTTGGGGAGCCTTATTGGTGCTGGGGATTTGAACTGGGGTTGGCCACATGAAAAGCAAGTAGCTTATCTCCTAGATCAGTGGCTGATTTATACTGCTACTAGTATCATGTCTTTGTGTACATATTTCTAATTATCTACTACAGGACCCATCAGAATTAATCATCATCATCGCATGTAGCTCTTACACTTGCATTATAATCTTAATTTTTAAGTTGAAGAAACTGTCATTCAAAGGAGTTAAGTAAATTGCCTGAAGTACTTAGAGATGGAGCTTGGATTTGAACTTTGGGACACGGACCCTAATCTGTGGCCTTGCATTAGAAACAGTTGAATGTTTCAGGAATATTGCATCCTCATTAGCATCAATAGAATCAACACATTTTGGCAAATTAAACATATCTTGATAGCCTCCTCGTTTTAAAGTGCATTCTGACCCATGATATCTGAGTTGCCCTAAGCTTGTGGGGTCTTGAAGACCCCAAGTCCTATTTTATCAGTGTGCATTTCTGTGCATTCCAGATGGTTTTCGGAAACAAGAGAATCTCACGAATTCACACCCCTCAATCAACATATCAGTCTGAGTCAACAAACTGTTTGAGTTTGGGATCTGCCCAGATTAAATTGGGGGCGGGGGGGGGGGGGGTGAGGGGGTGGTTAGAGAAAACAGAGAAATGTGATAGTTTTCTTTCCAAATACCCCTCAATCTAGCGAGGTAGATGGAAACTAACACTGTTGTTGGAAAGTAAGACACTGAAGAATGAGGTTGGAAATTTCATCCTCCAAGTTAGAGGCTGCCTTGAAATGTTTTTTTTTTTTTTTAATCTTTGAGCAGGTGCCAGTGTTTTCAGATCTGGAGATTTCACATACAGTCTGAATCTCGGCTTCTCTTAAAAAATGGGAGGCTTTGGCAACGCTGAGCCTGTATTCCAGTGTGGCAAAGTCACCCACAGCTGCCCCTTGGGATGAGAATTTCCTGTCCTGTTTGCCATATCCTCACCCAGCCTACATCACCAGTGTGCATGGAACTTTCCAGGCCTTTCTCTAGAAGCATTAAGGAAATCTCTGTAGATTGAGAATGCAGAGAAAACCCAAGTGGGAAATGGGTTTGCAGCCAGCCAGCAGCCCTCAGGGTGAGCGAGCAGGGAGAGCCAGACCTTGAATACCCTTGTGGGGTGGAAATCAGGTTCTGTCTCCCTTGTGGGAAGAAAGGAACTCATTCGGCACCAAGTCAAGATGAGGGCTTTGCTCCTAGCAGCTGATAGATCTCTTTGGTGGCCCGCCATGTGACTGGAGACATGCCGCATGCCTGTGGCCCCGGGAAACAGGGCAGGTCCCTGGTGGAAATAGAAAGCTGTATTGGCCTTCACTAGGGACCAGCATCTAAACCTGTACACCTGAACTGAGAGCAGCCTGGTTGGTGCTTTTATTTGCAAGTCCTTGAGCAAATGAATCATAAAACAATGCTCAGTTCCTATTTACGCTTAAAGAGGCCAAAGAGTATTACTTTCTGTTCATTACAAGGTGTGTCCTGAGGTCTTCTGACTGTGGATGGTTTGCAGCTGCTCAAGGTACAGAACTTGAGGGTAATGAACTGTGTTTTGCAGAGTCAGGGTGTAAGAGAGAAAAGGATCATTAGTGATGATCCTTCCTCATAAAATGAGGGCCTTTCTCCTCATTTTAAGATGAGGAAATTGAGGCCTAGAGATTTGCTACAGATCCCACTGCTGGTCCATCACACACATTGTGTCCCAGCTTTGCTTCTGAGGACTTTGTTTCTTTAGAAAATGGGATGAAGGGTATATATATATATATATATATATATATATATATATATATATATAGAGAGAGAGAGAGAGAGAGAGAGAGTGTACAGGGGTGAGGTTTTTGCTTTGCATGTTGCTGTCCCCAGTTTGATCCTGATATCAAATATAGTTTCCCGAGCACTGCCAAGTGTGATCCCTGAGCATGGAGCCAGGAGTAAGCCCTGAATACTTCCCAGTGTGCCTCCCCCGACAAAGAAAACGGAAAAATGAAAGTGGGCTTACATGGCCATTAGGAGACTGTAAAACACAGCGGTATGTTTTTCTTCCTTGTCAGGGTAACTCTCTTTGTCCTGAGCTGTTGGTGCATTAAGAATGGATCAAGAGGGGCTGGAGTGATAGTACAGCAGGGAAGGCATTTGCCTTGCATGTTGCATGTTGCAATACTGGATTCAATCCTTGGTACTCCATGTCATCCCCTGAACACTAACTGTCAGGAGTGATCCCTGAGCACAGACCCAGGAGCACCACAGTTATGGCCTCCAAACCAAACAAACAAACAAGAACGGATGAGCATCAGTGCTAGAGAAATAGTACAGCAGGTAAAGCACTTGTCTTGCATGTGGCTGACCTGGGTTCAATCCTCAGTATCCCCTATGGGCTCCTAAGCACTGTCAGGAGTAATTCCTGAATGCAAAACCAGCAGTAATTCCTGAGCACTGCCAGATGTGACCCCTAACTGCAAAATAAAAATGAGGGTGAGGATTGAGCATGGTGCCCAAGGATTCAGCTCCCATTTGCCCTCAACAATTTGTGATCTTAAGAAACATCTCAACCTCATTTCTCTTGTCTGTAAAATGAGGAAGAGCTAAGATTACTAATGCTCTTTTCCCCTCTTGCATTGACTCTGGGAAATGCCATCTCATTCCTCATGATCCAGGGAGTCGAGGTTAAAAGCATGGAGTCCCAGCACCATCACCATCTGTATGACCATTGGCAAGTCACTCAGTATCACGATGCCTCCAGTTTCACATCTCTCTGTAAGGCTAGTAGTAATGCCTGTCTCACTAGATTAGAGGATTAAATGAGAGAATGCCTTTAATGCCTGGAGGAATGCCTGACAGATACATCCCCCCACCCAAAGTAAATAGTCATTGCATCTCTTGTTACGGTTCTTTATGTAACAGGGCATAGTCCCCTCTTTGCTTTGGCAGCCAGAGAACTCATCACTCATTTTGAACTTCATCTTTAGATCTACACAGGACCCAACGACATGCATTATTTAATGATTCGACTTTCATTTTCCCCATTATCCTGACTTTTTTTGGGGGGGGAAGGAGTTTGGGGGTCATACCCAGTGTTATTCAGAACTTACTCCTGGCTCTGTGCTCAGGGGTCACTCCTAATGGCTCTTAGGGGATTATCTGTGGGACTGGTGAAGGAACCTGGGTCAGCTGTTAATGAAAAGAATGTGCCTTAACTCCTGTACTATCTTTATGACCCTGATTTTTATGTATTATTCTATGTTTAAGAACAACTTTGAAATTAATTTAAAAAATTGGTTCATTCAGACTGGCTTGATAAATCATCTGTGATGATCTTGAATTGGAAAGTGAACCAGTTTATTGGTTTTAATGATATTAAAAGTCATTATTAACACTTGGAGGAACACTCCTGGTGGTACTTGTGGGATCCTGGGGTACCAGAACCTGTCATCCCATTTTGAAGTTGAGAAAAATGAGGCTCAGAGAGGTAACTCAGCTAATGGTTTGCCAGCTGAAAAAGACAGGCAGGATTCGGTCACAGCCCTCTCAGGGTCAAAGGCACAGATCTCACTCCCTGTTTTGTGGTCTGGGTGTTCTCCTGAGCTTTGGGAACGTAGTTGGGGTGATTTCAGTCGCGTACTGATGTTCTCTCTCCCATTCTTCTTCCTCTTCTCCCTTCACTTCCTTTACCGTCTCTCTTCTTCTGGTTTCCTAGAGCCCATGAGGGCCCCCAAAGGCCTAGCTTTCGCTGAGATCCAGGCCCGCCAGCTGACGCTGCAGTGGGAACCCCTGGGCTACAACGTGACCCGGTGCCACACCTATACTGTGTCCCTGTGCTACCACTACACCCTGGGTAACAGCCACAACCAGACCGTCCGGGAGTGCGTGCAGATGGAGCGGGGGGTCAATCGCCACACGATCAGGAACCTGCTGCCCTACCGCAGCGTCCATGTACGTCTCATCCTCACTAACCCCGAGGGTCGCAAGGAAGGCAAGGAAGTCACCTTCCAGACGGACGAGGATGGTAAGAATCTCTGCCTTGATTCCCATGCCCAGTGTACTGCCCACAGGCACCCCCATCTCTGGAACTGACATTTATATGGGGAGTTTCTTGCTTAAATTAAATCAACTGTGTAACAACAAAGTAATGATAGTTATCATTTATTTTCTAGAGGACTTTGAGTTAAAGTGATATAATTTCTTCTTTAAATGTTTGGAATAACTCAGCAGGGAATTACTTGGATTGGGATTTTCTCTCATCCAAGTACTAACCAGGTCCAACCCTGCATAACTTCCAAGATCAAATGAGATTGGGTACATTCAGTGTGGACCTAAAGTTTTCTTTGTGTTTATTAAATAACTGTTTTAATGATAAAAATAGATCTTGGACTATCCAGATTTTCTATTCTTTTGGGTGGGATCCACACCCAGAGTGCTCAGAGAATACTCTGAGTGTCATGCTCGGGGGTTGCCCTTGATGGTGTTTGGGAGTCCATGTGATGCCAGGGATCCAACCTGGGTTTCTCACTTGCAAAGGATGTGACCTAACTCTTTGAGACATATCTAAAAGGTAAAGGCCCTCCCGTTGATTGTCGATTTGCTCGAGCGGGCCCAGTAACGTCTCCATTGGAGACTTTGTTGTTACTGTGTCTGGCATATCGAATACTCTCGGTAGCTTGCCGGGCTCTCCGAGAGGGGCAGAGGAATCGAACTCGGGTCGGCCATGTTGGCCGCTTGTAAGGCGAACGCCCTACCCGCTGTGCTATCGCTCCAGCCCGAGACATATCTATGGCCCAGATTTTATGTTTTATAATTTTACTGGAGGGCTATTTTCTGGGATCCACCTAGAAGTGCTCAGGGGCTACTCCTGGCTTTGCGCTGAGGGGTCATTTCTGGTGGTGCTTCGTGTGCCAGTGATTGAAGCTAGGTTGGCCACATGCAAAGCGAGTGTCTTAAACGCTGTACCATCTTTCTAGCCTCCAACATTTTCTGTTTATCTCATCATTTCATTTCATCATCCTGTTATTCGTCGATTGCCTCGAGCAGGCCCCAGTAACGTCTCTTTCATCCTAACCCTGAGATTATATTCAAGGCTCTTTAGGAGAATGAGACCCATCATTGTTACTGGTATTTGGCATATTTGGTACGCCACGGGGAGTTTGCCAGACTCTGCCCTGTGGGCAGGCTACATTCGATAGCCTGCAAGTTTGTCCAAAGTAGGAATGAGATAGTAAGATGTCATAAAAGATGTCCTGAGAAGACATCTTTTATGCACATATATTTTTAAATATGTGCAAAGACAAAAGAAAGAACATTCACTAAACTACCACTTACAACAGCACCAAAATTGCTAAATATCTACAGTTTACAAAATACCTAATATCACATTCAAATGTTGATTATATAAGCCAATAGTGGGAGAAATGCTCAAATTCACTCAATGAGTATAATTTACAATAAAATATGAAATGAGGACAAAGAAGATTAACAATAAAAGAGACAGAATACTGAAAAAATTAGTGTTCATTTGTACCAAACATATAAACACATATATGCAAAGGCTTGAGGAACACATAATGTCTGAAAGAATAAACATTCACACACTAATGTTAACAGTAAATGAGAATGGGCATATTTAAATGCCATTTTTAAAAGCCCTTTTTGAAGCTGAATAAAATTTTCTACTGATTAAGTATGTTCTTCTTATAAGATATTTGATTAAGGAGTGAGAAATGCTAAACATGACAATCACTAGCAAATAGAAGGAAATCTTAAAATATAGCCAATAAATTTTTAGTATTTTCGCCTGTTCATTTCAGAATCCTCAAAGTTAACAAGGAACTTGAGGAAATTTATGTTCATTAATAATTGTATAAGACTACCACTAACAGATGTAAATATTCAAGAACTGTTAAATATATAATTTTTTTTACACACTATACACCAATAAAAAACAAAACAGAAGAGGATCATCTGTTTTCCTAAAATAAGGGAACTAAAACAGAAAAATGACCATTGGTAAATGCCAAGTACTACCAAAGAGGTAAAAATTAAAGACTGCTTAATACAATACTGGATTACCTCTATATAATATGTCAGACAAACATCCATCCCGACAGATCATGTGGCTGAATCATCTGTTTATCTAATTTGGGTATACTGTGTTTTTAAGAAATTAGTTTATTTACACTAAATTTTGAAATTTCTTGTCAAATATTGGGATAGTATTATCATAGTTAATATCTGTAGGATCTGTAGTGATAGCTCTTTTTTCCATTCAGGATACTGGTTATTTGTGTCATCCATTTTTCTTGTTCTCTCTTATGAAAGATAAATATGTTTTATTAATCTTTCCCAAAGAGTCAACTTTTGGCTTAGTGATTTTCTTTATTCTATACTTACTGTATTTCCTTAATTTCCTTTTTGTATACTTCCTTTGCATTTGATTGACGGTTCTTTTAACTTTTTGGAATGGAAGCTGAGATCATTGATTTTGAGACTTTCTTCATTTCTAATATATGCAGTTGAAGCTTCACATTTTCCCCTCTAAGTTCTGCTTTATTGCAGTCCTCAAGTTATTTGTGTTTTCTGTTCGTTGTCTCTCCCTGTGGACCACTCCTGGTGATGCTTGCTCTGGCTCTATGGGCCTGAAAGTTTCACTCTTGGGCTGACAATGTGTGTTGCTTAGGCCCAGTGGTGCTGCGGGACATCAGGGCTACACCTGAGAGTGATTGGGGGACCATTTGGTGCCAGGGACTGAACTTGGGCCTAGTGTGCTTCCTGCCCCTAGCCTGTGAGTTTTGATATGTTCTATCATCATTATTATTTGGTTAAAAGTATTTCCTAATTTTTTTTTATTAGTGAAACACCATGAGGTACAGTTATAGACTTGCAAATTTTTGTGCTTGGGTTTCAGTTATACAATGATCAAGTACCCATCCCTCCACCAGTGCCCATCCTCCACCACCACGGGTCCCAGCATCGCTCCCACCCCCATACCCCCCATTCCACCCTGCCTCTGTGGCAGGGCATTCCCCCTTGTTCTCTCTCTCTTCTTTTGGGTCCTGTGTTTTGCAAGAGAGACATTGAGTGGCAGTCATGTTTGGTCTATAGTCTACTTTCAGCATGCTTCTCCCACCCTGGGAGGATCCTCACAACCCCCTTTATTTGGTGCTCTCTTAAGTATTTCCTAATTTTTGATGTTTTTTCCTTTGACCCAAGAGTTATTTAGAATTATATTGCTAATTTCTAAGCTATTACCATTATCTCTTTATACTGATTTCTATTTTAATTTCACATTCTTCAAAGTACATACTTCATTTTAAGTATGAAATTTAATACTTATTTTATTGCCCAGCTTATACAATGTTGGCAAATGTTGTTTGTCTATTTGAAAAAAAAGTGTGCATTGTGTCATTGTGCTACTTAGGTCAAACTAAAACTTTTTAAGTGCTGACTACCTGTAAAGCTTTTTATATGTCCATGGTTTAATACCCAGGACAGCAGTAGCAATTCAGGGCAGAATTTCACCTGCCTCTGGGAGGTTCTTCTCTGGCTGGTTAAGCAAACAAATTAACATCAGATAATTCATAGGAAAAAAGAACAAACTTAATTACATATGGGTGTTTGCTCAATCAGTCCAAGAGAACCTCAGAGGCATATGGAATATTTTTCTCTATACCCCAGTTGTTTTGGTGACCTGAAATGGGATTTATCTAATTGGCTGGAGATTGCTTACTCCTGATAGGCTGCTCAGAGAGAGAGAGATCCTGGAATGCCTGATAATAGCTGACAAAGGATAATTTTTTTTTTTTTTACTATGTACATCCTTCTGAATCTCTATCTGCAGGGACCTGAGGGAAACCAATGTGATGAGACAGTCTTTAAAAATATTTAGATTAACAGGAAGAAAATATTGATGAAACTAGGTGTTTGGAAACAGTGACTTTTGCCTTGGTAATTGTTACTTAAGTACTCTGGTTTGAATTCTTTACATGTGGTTTGGAGCCATAGCCAGCTATGCTGAGTATGTGTGAATTGTTCACAGCGGTGCTTGGGGGAATGATGCCATCCTGGGGACCAGACCCAACCTTCCTACATTCAGACATGCACATTAGCTTCTCCCTGCCTTTTTTGTTTTCTGATCCATACCCGGGCCCAAAAAATGTGCTCAGGGATTTCTTCTAGATCTGTGCTCAGAGTTTGCTCCTGGTGGGACTTGGGGACCATATCTGGTGCTAGGGATTGAACCTGGGTAAGCTGTGCACAAGGCAAGCACCTTATTTGCTGTCCTATCGCTCGTAGCTCTTTTAGTTACCACTTCAACCGTGGTTTGGATTGTCTTGGTTAAACCTTGACTCACAGAGGCCTTTATTTGCTCTGGTTCTGTCTTTTGTGTTTTCATAAGGAAGGAAGATTTTAAGGTGCATGCAGTTTTCTAAGGAGCGTATTTTTCCTTTTCCCCTTCCCTTCACTGTTGTTGTCATGACCAGGGTGACACACACTTGACCGTGGCACTCACAGAAGGTTGCACATCAGGTTTTAGTGCTTGCACACTCGGCCGAGGTGCTCTCTGGGGGTCATTTTATAGTTGTGGAGATTCTGACTGTTTCAGCTGCAGGAGAGTATTGCTCACACGTGTATATGTGGTCACAGTACTAGTCACGGAGCTTGTACATCTCTAGTGGTGGCAGTAGTCACTAGGGATGACACATTTTTATAGGGGTCTGTCTCCCCAGGAGTAGTTGGGGGCTGGGAGCCAGTCCTAGTGGCACTTGACCTGGCAGTGTGGGTCTGACCATTGTGTGCTTGGGTTTTGTCATTGCAGGGCTCCCTGGATCTGTTTGTGCTCGGGAGCCAAAAGCACTATTATAGTGATGCTCAGGGGCCACTTGCGGTGACAGGCAGTAAACTCAAGGTTCACCACTCAGAGGTATCTTCTTGGTTCCAGCTACTTAAAAAAGAAAGTAGTAGTGCTTGCCCATACTGGACTGTGGTGCTCTGGAGACCATGCACTCCACTGTA